ACATAAAAGAAAAAGGCCTAGGCCACAACTTAAATTTTCAAAAGTATTGAGGCACGGTGTGTTTGTTCTAAACAGAGTAATATTTTCACACAAAGGTCGAAGGAGCAAGTGCTTCCCCATCCCATCATTAAGCGTTACTACACCACTGTCAGACCATTACATTATTGCCATGCAGGATTATAATACATAACTAGATCAGCACTATGATATATTATATTGGATAACGTTACGGTAATAACACGAAATTCAAGGCATTGATTGGGTTTTAAATGATTTAAAATTATTAATTAAAAAAATAATAAAATAAATAAATTCGACCTTTTAACTTTTTATTAGACTAAAAATAAAAACACAGTAAAAAAAAAATATATTTCGTTTTTATTCATTTGAAACTGAAAAAGATGTATTCATTTATTTATTTATTTGTTGACCTTGGACCTTGTATTAACCAACTGCACAAGATTTCCCTAACAAAACGTTATCAAAGCTATCAGCTACACGAAACCAAATCTATAACACAAGTGCACAAACTCTAACACTAGCCCATAAGTAGTAACATCTAATGACAATTGAACTCAAGGTGTATGTTGAAACTTCAAATCGTGGTAGTGTAATATGTGTTTGAAGACGGTAAATAATTTTAAAAAAGATATTAATATTTATTAGATAAATTTATTTAAAACAATTAAATAAATTTTTTGAAATCCATCGTATCTTATATAATAGAAGATAGTCACGTGTATGCATAGACATTGTTGCCTTCAATAATGTGTGGTGGACCCCCCCCTTCTTTGTCTTTTATTTTGGTACATGGACCCCCCATCTTTGTCACACATGTGAAACGATAGCTTTGGTATTCGGAAGAATATTCTAAGGTGTGGAATAAGTTGCCATTAAAATACTAATGGGACAATAGTTGCGTTCTCAGTCTTATGCTTAGTCTCTTTAACCATTCTCCATTGTAGACAGGGCCAGCCCGAGCCAATCGATGCCTAGGCGAAATTCTTGGATGATGTGCTATTAATTATGATAATATTTATTATATTTTTATTAAAATAAATTTATTATTATTTGAGATGTTAACTAAATTCTTTAGCATATCATTTATATTTATAAAATTTATTCAAGAACTAATAGTCAACATAATATTAAGAAAGTAAATTTGAAGTTTAATACTAGATATTTTAGTGATGTTTATATTGTCATGGTAACCAAAAAAAAAAACTAGTAACAAATTCAATTTAAATTTAAATAAATTTAAACCTTTAAATTTTAAAAAGAAAAATTAAAATATATAGTTTTCAAGTTGATCAAAAATAATATAAGAAAAAAATAATTACATAGTTTTGTTATATATGGTAGGTTTCAAGACATGAATAATAATATAATTAATATGATGAATCTTAACTTTATTGAAATCATAATTAGACTTAATTAAACTTGAATATAAAATTTTTAAAAATAATTTAAAATTTAAGTAAATCTAAATTTAAAAATAAAATAAAATTTGAAACCCCAAAAATATTGGCCATAGGCGACGGCTTCGTTTGCCTAGCCTCAGAGCCGGCCCCGACTGTAGGCCTATTCCTATCTTCATACAAATAATAAATTTTTTCAGTGATGTGACTTACGAGGTGAGTTAGATGGCTTGTCATCGTTGATCTTCTCCCTCTTGTAGTTCCAAATGTGTACGACTCTTCTAAAGGGAAAAGGTTAAAATATTGTCCGGCGGTATAGTATCGAAACGTATAATTTTTTAAAATTAAATTATAATTATCTAAAAATGTAAATTATAATTTTAAAAAGCCTGACTATAAAAAGTTGAGATCGATATCAAAATTTTATGATCGATAATGAAATATTAAAATCGATACCTAGAGGTCATGATCAATCATAACAATAATAACACAAATTTTTTTTTTAAATATTTAAAAACTCTAGCAAAAAATACTCAAATTATTGTACAAATATAATAATAATTTGTCACCCCTCTTTATTTTGTGTTGACCGTCGATAATGTATGAATTATGAACAATATTATAAGGACCTAAATCAATATAATTATTAAATTAATTATGAATTTAAATATTAGATAAAATATACTTTTAATTCAATAATTATAATTAATTCAATGAATTTAAGTGTAAATAGTATTTTTCATGAATTATGTAAATCACATCCTTCTTTATAATATCTTTATTTATGGCGATAATATGAAGGAGACTTATTGTCACATGCCATGCCAGGAGATGACTGACACTGTGGCCCCAAAAACTTTAACCTACTCTCCAATTGTGCTTTTGCCAGAGTCTTCACTTTTCTGGCAAATGCCAAATGCCAAATGCATTTAAATTCAGTCTTAAATATATTTGTTTCCATTAAGGAACAAAATTTTGGATATTGAATGATCCGATCAATCCCGCTTTGGGGCCACCCCTACTCTACCATTATTATAGGGTATGTGGTTCGTGACAAAGGAAGATCAATTTTTCATTTATATTTTATTTGGATATATTTTTGTGCTATTCATTTTTTTGTTGATTCTTTTTTCAAACATGAATAATCGATTTACAAATATCATTAACCATGTAATTTAGTGGGTGATGTCAAATGCACCCGGACATAGCCATCATAAATTGTCTGTGCGATAGAGGGGAAGGTAGGTTCCGGATAATCCAATGAATCTTCTTTTTTTTTTTTTTTCTTTTTTCTCTCATTTTCTTCATTTTCCTCTCCCTAAGTAAATTCTCCCTAAATACATCTCTTCAATTAAACTTTGGAAATATTACAAATATATGATATGGATAATGCTAAAGATTCAGAACTTATTTTTTATTTTTTTATAAAAAAAAATGAAATATCCAATAGATTTAAATTAAAAAATATTTTTTGATAAATTAATTGCAAAATACTTTTCTAAAACCCCCAATATCTCTTTTACATCTTCTATGGAAAAATGCTCAATTTTCGTGAGATCTTCTTGAACATCATTCAAAAGTTCCATCAAGTAACAAAAACTTGTCAAATGAAAAATGTTATTTGGAGTTAAGAATAATGTTATTTGAATTTAATTTGTCAATCTAATTTATTATAGTTCTTGAATTGACTATGCTCCCCATTAAACATTAAATTTGATGTTAATCTAACGATTATAATGAAATTATATTATTATATCAGAATTTTAGGTCTAAATAGCATTACTCTTGAACCTAATATATAACTTAATTCAATGTAGTCATTGAATTGAAAGTTGATTTCACATAATATTAAAAGTACAATTGATCCAAAAATTGCATTGAATTGGATGCGTGATTAAGTTCCTAAAACATTTCTCCCAGTCAAAAAATATGACTGAATGTTGTGCGTGCACGATCCTGCACAATATAAAATCAAGAACAGATCTTTTTCATGGTGAACAAGAGTTCGTTGATCGAGTGGTCAATTTTACTACTTGGAATAGGTTGTGAGGATCGGAGATGACTTGAGAAACAATAATGAGTAACTTCTATGGGTCACCATAATGGTCCTGTGAGGATAAGAGAAGTTCTTGAAACAGAGAAAAACAGGTTAGAAGGGCGCCAGAGTGTTTTTCAACGTATCCTCTCCAACGATCAAATCAGTTTTTTGAAAGAAGGGAAGAAGAAAACACGGTATGATGGTTGAGAGAGAGTTTGTTGCGTACCCTTTTCTGTGTTTACGAGGACTATTTATACCTTAAAAATTCATCATTGCTGACAGCGTAGCTAGTAAGTAATCATTAGAGGTGGGCAGTGTGCATATCAATTTCTATGAGTAATGTTCTTATTCTTAACTGCTCGGGGTCTAATGCTCTCTCCTCGGTCTGCCGAACGTTTAATGATCTTCCCTCGGCGGGGGTGTATTAAATGTCCAGGCTTTGGGACATTTATTACCTTTCACTTCCAGGCTCTCATGCATTAAATGCCTGACCTCTCAAGCCGTGTGTCAGTAAGGGCATTCAAGTCTTTTTGTCTCTGATCCGATACAATATGTCACACGTCCATTCCCCTTTGGTTGAGCCTTCTGCGTTCTTGTGCCTCCTGACACCATTTGAGTGGAACGATGTCATGATAGATAGTCTAGCCTAACCTAAGCTAGTAACCCGTCAATCAGTAGCCCCTACAGGTGCAGAAATGCTTCGTAGACAGATATACCTCGGTGCCGATGGTCCAGTGTCACTAGGGGCCGATGTACCCAAACTGACCGAGGGATACATGTCGATCTATGTCATACTGGGGATCCTTGATCCCTGTGAATAGTACTCTCGGGGGAAGGAGGATTATGGACCAACACGCATGTGTCGTGATCTGATCGGCGAGTATCTATTGACGCCGAGAACACGTATCGTCATTTTGGAGTGTTTGAAAATGTCCCATAACTCTAAAAAATATCACAAGAATCCCCTAATTGGCTGAACAAGCTTCATGCATGACAAACTCAGCACCATTATAGCGCACTGATAATCAAGCACCAAATAGTTCAAGAAAAAAACAAAGGGTGAAAAATCATTTAGATTATAGCACTCTGATAATCTTATTTTAGATTGTCAACCATATCAGTTGGGTGATCGTGTATCATTTTATTTCTGTTCATGTTCGTTAGATCAATCATACAGCATTGGACTAAGACTAACATATTCTTCTTAGTCATTTGATGCCAGCCACCTACTCCACTGATGCTTGGTGCTCGCCACTTTATTATGATTCAACGAAACTTCAAAGTAGTTGGGGTCCTCCCAACCCATTTGGTTGGCTGCTATTCAGCTGCATTATATTATGTGGATACACCTATTTCACCTACTACTTCAACTTATTAAGCTAGGAAAAAAACAAAGAAAATTATTACCTTAACCAAACGAAATTCAACTTTCAATATCAAATTACAGACAACCCAACATTTTTATGCAGACTTTGAACCTAGAAATTAAGTACATGGAGACCATAACCCTAGAAAATAAGGACATGAAGAGAGAGAGAGAGAGAGAGAGAGAGAGAGAGAGAGAGAGATGAACGCTAATCTAATCTAATGACTAACAATCTTATTCTTCAACTTAAAAGCCAATTCAGAAAGTGTTTTATTAGAAGACCCGTCTTCACTAAGAACCTTAGCAGCAGCATCCTTTAGGCCTTTCATTCTGCTGCGAACATGTTTCCCTTCTTCTCCTTCCATTAGACTCTTCACAGCTTTTGCAATCTCAAGACGACCCACAAGACCATTTTCATCAACCTTTGGCCTCAGAGCTACTTTTATATCCTCCGTCAGGATTACTGCATTCATCTTTTGCTCTGCATACAAAGGCCAAGCGATTAATGGGATGCCATTGACCACACTCTCGAGGGTTGAGTTCCAACCGCAGTGGGTTAAGAACCCACCGGTCGAGCCATGGCTAAGGATTTGGGCTTGTGGTGCCCAAGATGGCACAACCAGACCACACCCTTTGGTCCTTTCTAAAAATCCCTTTGGTAGAAAGTCAAACGGATCTTTTTTTGGGCCTTGGACGTTAAAGTATGTGGCATTGGCAACTTTATTATTTGGAGTTCTAACAACCCATAAAAATCTCTGCTCACTTATTTCTAATCCGAATGCCAGTTCATTGAGCTGCTCATATGAGAGGGTCCCACCACTTCCAAAAGAGATGAACAATACAGAACCACTAGGCTGATCGCCTAACCATCTCAAACACTCAGACCCATCAATTTGGCTGCTTGACCCCATTTGTACGAGCGGTCCAATGGGATAAACCGGTGGCTTACCCGGTTCTTCCTCTTGTAAAGCTTTCACAGCCCCTGGCTCCAAGTCCTTGAAGCTATTCACCATAATTCCCTCTGCCAATCTATACCTCTTAACATGATGGAGAACCCATTTGTATGCATCGTTCTTTCGGTCCTGAACCGGGTCCAGAAGTTCCCTTCCATGAATCGGTATGCAACCCGGGATTTGAACCGGTTCAGGCAGGTCTCTGTACTCGCATGTCACAGACTCATCAAGGTTTGGCAAATGAAGGAACAAAGACAAGGCCATGGCCGTTGATGGGAAGAAAATATAAGGGGAGACTTTGAATTCATTAGCAACATCAAAAGTATCAGTGCCAAACAGATCAACAACAAGAGCAACTAACCGAGTTGTCGCCACCAACTGTTTGAAAACTTGTCGAAGAGAGGGAAGTGAGCGAGTGATAGTTAGAGAAATCCTTGTTTCAATCTTATCATCACTGGGTAGGTCATCGAAATTAACAGGAGGAAGAAGAAGGTAGCTCATGCCATTAGGAAGAGCTTCGAGAAATGTTTTTTGGGCTTGGGACAGAGGTCCGCCGGTGGGGAGGATGAGAGTTATGGAGAAGTTGTGTTGAAGAATGAGACGCTTTGCAAACTCCACAATTGGGATGAGGTGACCCATTCCAGGCGTTGGTACCATGGCTATGTGAGGTGTCTGTTCCATGGAGGTGTGTGTTTGTGTTTATTGTGTGTGTGTGTGTGAGAGAGAGAGAGAGAGAGGGAGAGAGAGAGAGAAAGAGGGAGAGAGAGGTTTTTTGTGAAGGTCGAAGATGAAGCAGAAGAGAGAAGTTTATATAGCTGATTTTGGAAGGCTTTGTTGAGGTGAAATTTCTTCCTCTTTTTTTTTCAAAAAAGTAAATAAATAAATATATATTACTGATATAGTAATGATATAATTTAGTAATATTATTTTGATCCTAACTCTTATATTTGATGATAACTCTTATATTTATTTATCATCATTATTTTAACAAATTATTATATTAATAAATTAAATTAATTTTTAAAATTTCTATAATCTTACCCGAATTTGTAAGTGGGAAATTTGTGGGAGAGCTTTCCGAGAGGACCTGTGTTTTCTAGAAGAGAGAGAGAGAACTCTGGCTAGGTGCGTGCGTGCGCGCACTGGTGCTTACACGATGGTGATGTGAACACAATCGTAAGCCTGATGTCATTAACATTATAAACTCAGAAATTCCCTAGACAATTTGTACTAGGTGAGACTTTAGTACGGAAAAAGTAATTTTTCCTGTAACAAACTTTTTGGACCAGACTAGGATACGTACCGAAAAGCTTCTATTTAAGTTAATTGAGTGTAAAATTATAATATGAGTGACAAATTTACAATAATAATGTAAAAATTACGATAATAGTAAAAATTTTCTAAGTGTGCTCGTTAAAATTATCACAATAGTGAATAAAATTAAAATATCAATAAAAAATTTACAATAATAGTAAGCAAAATTATAATATTAGTGAACAAAATTATAACATCATAAAAAATTTACAATATTAGTGAACAAAATTATAATATTAATGGACAATTTACTATAATAATAGATAAAATTACTACAATTGGGCAAATTTTTACCACCATTTAAAGTATCAAAATTATTTTTTGAGGGTTTGTGATCGATCACTAATATTGATTGATCGATCAGTGAAAAAATTACAATATCAGTGAAAAAATTTGCAACAATAATGGACAAATTTATAACATCAATGAAAATTGATAACATTTTGATACTTTTAACCACATTTGTCATAAATACAACATTATGACATCTCACTCATATCGTAAAATTACTTTTAAGTTTGTATTATTATTCACGATTCTTATAATATTAACCAAAATGAAAGTAAAATTTATTTATATACTAATAACCTTAATCACAATCATTTTAAGTTTACAATATTTGTGAAAAAAATTATCACAACGGTGGACAAAATTTCAAAATCAATGAAAAATTTATAACATTAGTGAGAAAATTTACAACAATAGTGAAAATTTTACATAATCATTGTATTTAACTCTGAATTATAGTAAAATTTTTCTTTGATGTCATAACCTTTCCCCAATTATGGTAAATTTATTCACCATGATTTTCACTTCACCTCTTTTTGTCATAAATGTAGTTAAAAGTGTCAGTCGTATTTTTATCACTATATTGATTAAAGTTTGTCCACTACTGTTGTAATTTACCTACTGCTATTGCAAATTTTTCATTGATACTATAAATTTTTATTGATATTGTAAATTTATCCACTACTGTTATAAATTTTTCTATTGATGTTATAATTTTTTACTGATCAATCAATTAATATTAGTGATCGATCACAAACCCACAAAATATAATTTTATACTCTAAATGATAGTAAACGTTTGCCCACTGTTGTAGTAATTGTGCTTATTATTATATTAAATTGTCCATTGATGTTGTAATTTTATCCACTATTGTTATAAATTTTTTTACTGATGTTGTAATTTCTTCTACTATTATGATAATTTTGTCCACTATTGTTGTAAATTTTTCACTAAAATTATAATTATGTTTATTATAGTCGTAAACTTTCCATTGATGTTGTACTTTTGTCCTCCATTGATAGTTTTTCGGTATGGTACCAAAATTTTTCATTTTGGTACCGTAGTATGCTCTTACTTTTTGGATCAAATACATATTAATAAGGTATGCATAAAATTAATTTTTTCATTTTTATGATCAATAAACATAAATAATTCAAATGTTTTGTTTGGTACGTATGATTAAAAAATAGAATTATAAAAAGTTAAAAGAATAAAAAATTAAAAACATAAATAAAATATTATATTTGATAAGGAAGAAAAATAATAAAAATAGATGAATTAACTTTCATTTCAATTTACCAAAATCAATTCATTCTAAATTAAGAGTAAAATAAATAAAAAATTAATTATATATATTGATACTGGCACCATTATTGTTTCTTACACTTTCATTGCACCCCATCTGTTGTTTACAAAATTACAATAATATTATGTAGATCTTGATTTGGTAGCTGTTTACAGATAGTACTGGAGCCCACTATCAATTTATGATCGTTGACCTCTCATTTAATATTGATGAGACACACCCATAATATTAATGTGTTACATGGACAAATTAAATTAATGCTCCGTTTAGTATGATGAAAAAAATAAAAGAACGAAAAGTTAAAAAAATAAATATCATGTTTAGTAAGGAAGAAAAATAGAAATGATGGAAAAGAAGATGAATTAACTTTTATTATAACTCATCAAAATCAATCCCTCCAAAATCGAAGAAAATTAGATGAGAAGTTAATTATTTGTATTATGATGTATCTTATTTGTCTATATATCTTTTAACTAGTTATTGCTAGTGCGAAGACACAGAGTAATAAAAAATAATAAACAATAAATATATTTTTATTTATATCCAAAATCAAATTACAAATATAAAGGAAAGATAAATGAATTTAAGCATCGATTATAGTGGAGATGAGAAGTGAGAGGTGGTGGGCGATAGTGGTAGTGAGAGGTGGTGGGTGGCAGTAAT